GCTCCCATATTCCCACAGTGTGTTCCTACAACTAAGGAAGAGACGTGGTACACCTGCAGAAAACAACTCTGGGTTGATAAAGCAAGCGCAGCCCAAAGTGTGGAGAAAGTCGATTTAGACCCTAAAATTTCAAGGCTAACTCATGCAAGTCTGATGTTCAGTATTAAGATAGAACTCATCTGCAATTTTTGCCACATGAAAACTTGTCATCTTGGCAAGTACAGCAGTTGCTACACTCACTTCAGAAAATCCTTAAAGCGTGACTTCGGGTGTCTTTTTTTATTTTGGGGTTGGTTTGTTTTGTATTGCCTTTACATATATTTTCCTGTCTTCCTAAGCACGTTATATCTGTACTTGATCTCACCAGAACTCTTTACAAACTGAAAAGCAAATGGATTAAAGTGCACATTTATATCTGTAAATATCCTTAAAAACATTGCAGGAATTACAGTCACTAAAATAAGCGAGTTTACAGTTTTGAATGCTATTTCTAAAAATTCTTTTCAGGAAGTTTTTTTTAATTACTTAGCTGATAATCTTCAATCTTAAAAGAAATTAAGATAATGAGAGTCATAGTAAAAATATATATATAATTGAGTAACGGAATGATACTTACAGGCAGTTGTACATCTCACCTGGAAAACAAAAATAAATAATAGAAATTAAAACTTTAAAACTACTGGAAGCCCAAATAAATTAAGGATTGGTTTAATGGGGGGGGGGGGGAAGGAGGCAGGGAGGGGGGCAAAAATCAGTTAAACAAAAAAGAAAACAAAATCTATTATTGCACTCCAGCCTTTTCAACCTGCAAAAGAGATAACTAAAAATCTACGGACATAAAAATAACACCAGAAGCATACCAACAGAGAAAAAAACCAAACATGCTGGTAAAAGGTTAGTTACTTTTTTTTTTTTTTTAAAGCAAGCAGTTTATTTTGTCACAAAAGCAGCTGATAACATATGCTGATTATTTGGCACATATAAATTTAAAAACAAAACCTACAAGATATTAGTCAAAAGACACTTTAGTTAGTACTTTCGACACTACCCTACAAAAAGCAGCAGATGCTAATTAGGTCTTTCTTATTTACGAGATTTTTCCTATCATCCTACTGATTTATAAATTTTATTATTACTTCTCACGAAAGAATATTTGGCATTTTTGGAAACAAACTTAGTGTAGTCAAAGTTCAAAACACTTAGTATATATTCTGAAATCTACTTTATATACGCATACATATCCATAAACTATCAGCAGTTGCCATTTAGCTGCAGCCTGAAACTACTCTGCTAGTAATACCGACAAGCACACCAGAATCTTGCTCTGATAATGTATTTTAGCCTTTCAACTTCATGCTTTTACTCCTGAATAAGCTGTTTCCCTTCTTGTTAGCATGCAACCTGGCCTGGAAAATGTTTTCTTCACCTCCCTCCAGGTGAAAGGAGTGACAGAAAAGCCCCAGGCACTTGAGAGGAAAACTCTGATTTCCTGAGACTCTCATAGCCAGCCGATGCCAACCGACTGCAGCAGCCACTTTTGTCACATAACAAACAGATTACTTCAGCAATTGTGTCGGGGATTAAACACAACTCTTCACCTTGCAGAGCTACACGTGACAAGGCAAAACCAAGCATGTAGAGATACGTGCCCATAGGACAGGCAGGTCCCCAGCGCAGTGCTGGAGATCCACAGGTCACAGTGCCTTGTGAGGCTTGTGGACATGGGAGGTTTCTGCCCATGCACCGCTGGGCCTGGGTTTGACATCATGGCAGGTGCAGGCGGAGGCAGTCTCCAGCCCTGGCTGCGCTAACATCACCAGCAGAAGGGCTGGTCCTTTGGTTGGCCTTTATACCATGTCACCCCTAGAAAATCCAGCTTAGCTTTATGCCGGGTGGTGCCTTACCCACACAAAGCACCAACCCCGCTGATGGCAGAGAGGTTGATACATTTATCTACAGCACGTCAAATGCTCTCATTTTCTCTTTCCGCTCTGTTTTTGTAGACATTTTCCTAGCTGTTTCTGCAGTTTCGTGAGCTAACTCAAAAGAAGCAGCTATATCACAACAACCCAGCACAAAGCTTGAATCCCAAATCACTCGCCACCCAGCTCTCATGCTGCTGGTGCCACAAATAGCTCCATCAGCAGTAGCTCCCCGCATCACAGTCATGGGCCCAAGCAGACACACCCTCAAAAACTAGTCAGAATATGCCATTAAATCATCTTGTTCTCCATATGAGAGACTACAAAAAGCACTCTCCACGAAGATGAGGCAGGGCAGCTGACTGGAAGCAACCCTAGAAGGAACCCCTCCAGCTTTACGGGAAGGAGAAATGCAGCAAAGCAAGCTTTAAGTGGAAAGACCCCCTTCCAGCCTGTGATGGTCTTCATGCCGCAGCAAGAAGAGTTTGGCCACACTTCCTAGGCAAAAGAGCACTTCTAAACATTAAAGAACTAACTCCTGGTCTTCTCTAGCACAACCCCATCAACAACCCAGCACACCAAGGACATCACTTTGGACGCAGATGCCCTACATACAAGTGCAAGGCTCTGCCTCCACCTTTCTGAGCATTTGAGAGCCCAGCCAAACTGCCAGGCTATCAGGAAGTGAGGAAACGTTCATCTGTACTCAGGTCAAGAGCCCTTCTTCATTGAGAGGGCTTTAAACTAGGTTCGAAGGGGGAAGGGGATATTGCCCAGCTCACTAGGGATGAGCCCAGGCTTGGTGTGCCAGGGTCAGGGGTGAGATTGACAGCCCAGCTCAAGTGTGTTTACACCAATGCACGTAGCATGGGCAATAAACAGGAGGAGCTGGAAGCCATTATACAGCAGGATGGCTACAACTTGGTCTCCATCACAGAAACGTGGTGGGACAACTCGCATGACTGGCATGCTGTCATAGATGGCTACAGACTCTTTAGGAAAGACAGACCAACAAGGAGAGGTGGGGGAGTTGCTCTATATGTGAGGCAGCAACTGGAATGCATTGAGCTTGGCCTGGGGGCAAGTGAAGAAGGAGTTGAAAGCTTGTGGGTTAGAATTAAGGGACAGGCTCACACGGGTGACATTACGGTGGGTGTATACTACAGGCCACCCGACCAGGAGGAGGAGGTTGATGAAGCCTTCTACAGGCAGCTGCAAGCAGCCTCACAGTCACAGGCCCTGGTTCTCATGGGGGACTTCAACCACCCTGACATCAGCTGGGAAGACCATACAGCTAGGCAGGCGCAATCCAGGAGGTTCCTACAGAGCATCGATGATAACTTTCTGATGCAAGTGGTGGAGGAACCAACAAGGAAAGGCGCACTGCTGGACCTCGTGTTAACAAACAAGGAGGGACTGGTGGAGGACGTGAAGGTTGGAGGTAGACTCGGCTGCAGTGACCATGAAATGGTCGAGTTCAGGATCCTGCATGGAGGAAGCAGGGCGATAAGCAGGATCAAAACCCTGGACCTCAGGAGGGCTGACTTTGCCCTCTTCAAGGAGCTACTGGGAGGAATCCCGTGGGCCAGGGCTCTCGAAGGCAGGGGGGTCCATGAGTGCTGGTCGCTCTTTAAACAACACTTCTTCCATGCACAGGAGCAATGCATCCCCCTGAGAAAGAAATTTAGCAAAGGAGGCAGGAGACCTGCATGGTTAAACAAGGAGCTTCTAGCGGAGATCAGGCAGAAGAGAAAGGTCCATGGAATGTGGAAAGAGGGACAGGCCACTTGGGAAGAGTACAGAAACGTAGTGAGAGCATGCAGGGATGCGACGAGGAAGGCCAAGGCTCACCTGGAATTGAAGCTGGCAAGGGATGTCAAAAACAACAAGAAGGGCTTCTTCAACTACATCAGCAGCAAAAGGAAGGCTAGGGACAACGTGGGGCCGCTGCTGAATGAGGCGGGTGTCCTGGTGACGGAGGATGCGGAGAAGGCAGAGCTAATGAATGCCTTCTTTGCTTCAGTCTTCAGTGCTAAGACTGGCCCTCAGGAATCCCAGGCCCCGGAGGTAAGAGAAGAAGCCTACAAAGAGCACGACTTTCCCTTGGTCGAGGAGGACTGTGTGAGGGATCGCTTAAGCGATCTGGATGTCCACAAATCCATGGGCCCCGATGGAATGCACCCACGAGTGCTGAGGGAGCTGGCGGATGTCATTGCTGAGCCACTCTCCATCATCTTTGAGAGGTCCTGGAGGACAGGAGAGGTGCCCGAGGACTGGAGAAAGGCCAATGTCACTCCAATCTTCAAAAAGGGCAAGAAGGAGGACCCAGGGAACTACAGGCCGGTCAGCCTCACCTCCATCCCGGGAAAGGTGATGGAGCAGCTTATCCTGGAGGCCATCATGAAGCAAGTGGAAGAAAAGAAGGTTATCAGGAGTAGTCAGCATGGATTCACCAAGGGGAAATCATGCCTGACCAATCTGATAGCTTTCTACGATGACATGACTGGCTGGGTAGACGAAGGGAGAGCTGTGGATGTTATCTACCTTGACTTCAGCAAGGCTTTCGACACAGTCTCCCATGATATCCTCCTGGGGAAGCTGAGGAAGTGTGGGCTGGATGAGTGGTCGGTGAAGTGGATAGAGAACTGGCTGAATGGCAGAACTCAGAGGGTTGTCATCAGCGGCGCTGAGTCTAGTTGGAGGCTGGTGACAAGTGGTGTCCCTCAGGGGTCAGTACTGGGCCCAGTCTTGTTTAACTTCTTCATCAACGACCTGGATGAAGAGTTAGAATGTACCCTCAGCAAGTTTGCTGACGACACCAAACTGGGAGGTGTGGTAGATACACCAGAAGGCTGTGCTGCCATTCAGCGTGACCTGGATAGGCTGGAAAGCTGGGCAGAGAGGAACCTGATGAGGTTCAACAAGGGCAAGTGCAGGGTCCTGCACCTGGGGAGGAACAACCTCATGCACCAGTACAGGCTTGGGGTGGACCTGCTGGAGAGCAGAGAGGGACCTGGGTGTCCTGGTGGACGACAGGTTAACTATGAGCCAGCAGTGTGCCCTGGCTGCCAAGAAGGCCAATGGGATCCTGGGGTGCATCAAGAAGAGTGTGGCCAGCAGGACAAGGGAGGTTCTCCTTCCCCTCTACACTGCCCTGGTGAGGCCTCATCTGGAGTACTGTGTCCAGTTCTGGGCTCCCCAGTTCAAGAAGGATGAAGAGCTACTGGAGAGAGTCCAGCGGAGGGCTACAAGGATGGTGAGGGGACTGGAGCATCTCCACTACGAGGAGAGGTTGAGGGAACTGGGCTTGTTCAGCCTGAAGAAGAGAAGGCTGCGAGGGGACCTTATAAATGCCTACAAATATCTGAAGGGTGGGTGTCAGGAGGATGGGGCCAAGCTCTTTTCAGTGGTGCCCAGTGACAGGACAAGGGGCAATGGGCACAAACTGAGGCACAGGAAGTTCCGTCTGAACATGAGGAGGAACTTCTTCCCTCTGAGGGTGACGGAGCACTGGAACAGGCTGCCCAGGGAGGTTGTGGAGTCTCCTTCTCTGGAGATATTCAAGACCCGCCTGGACAAGATCCTGTGCAGCCTACTGTAGGTGACCCTGCTTCGGCAGGAGGGTTGGACTAGATGACCCACAGAGGTCCCTTCCAACCCCTACCATTCTGTGGTTCTGTGATTCTGTATTCTTTCACAAAGAAGTGCCCAAGGAACAAGAGACATAAAAAAGTAAAAAGCCACTCTTAAGGCAGGAAAACACTACTGCGCAGCATTCAGAGCAGAAGTGCTAAGCTATGTGGAAGCAGCTGCTGAATGAAGAGCAAGAAGTGAGATTCCCTTAAAAGCAGGGCAATCTAAAAGCAAAGCCAGAAAGATGCTGTGTTTAATATGAAAGGGAAATCACAAAAAGAAGAACAAAAACAACAACAAGAAACACCACAGGTCTGAGTAAGTCACAGTGATTTCTGCAACCCTACAGACAAAACATCAGGTGCCCAACATCATTCATAACCCATCCTTCAGTTACTTTCTATTCTGTAAAACTGCCTGAAGGTGACAAAATTTCTTGTCTCCCCCTCCCCAGATTTTGAGTCCAGGGGCACAGCATATGTCCTGGGCAACAGGAACAAGACATGTGACAGAGAAACAAGTATGCCACTGCCAAGTCCCCTGCACCCTTGCTTCTCACCTCCCTATTTCTTCCCTGCCAGCTCAAAGAAGCAGCCTGTCGTTTCCTGTTTTACCCCCAGCTACAGCCATCTGATCTAATGGCAAATTATTACCAAGCTGCCAGAAACTTGGTTGGACTGTCACGCGTCGGTTTTGTTAATGCTCAAACAATAGAAGTGAAGTCGTGCTAAAACTCCTGTCACGTGATGAATAAACAGCTTCCCATCATTTTACTTGCTTCTGTTTATCGCACGCTCTGGCAATGCCCCCTCATGATACCCCTCTGGCTTCCCCAGAACCCTGTGTGCAAACCAAATTCAGAAAAGCACATCCCTTTGGCAGCAGGCAGGCCTCCTCCTCAAACGCAAAACTGCGCAAAACAAATGATCCCATTCCTGAGCGTCAGCCTGCCTGACTCAGTCATTCCATGCTGTATTTTTCAACACAAGCCACGAACTGAGCTGTTCTTTGGCTTTACGTTATTACTTAATGAGATGCTATTTATACAAAGCATTTGTTTATTATTTCAGAGGATATTTGTGCTGAACACCTGATTCTCCTTGAGTTTCATCTAATATAACAGGAGCCCTGCCGTTTCCGCTTTTCTTTTCAACGACACGGATCCGTATTATTCATGTACAGAGTTGGGTATTTTGTTTAACCAAAAACC